TCTCTCTCTCTCTCTCTCTCTCTCTCTCTCTCTCTCTCTCTCTCTCTATCTATCTATCTATCTATCTCTCTCTCTCTCTCTCTCTCTCTCTCTCTGTCTCTATCTATCTATCTATCTATCACACACGCACACACAGAGGAGTGTCCATCATAGTGTAGGAACCATGAAGGGGAATTGCAAGAAGCACATATATTTGCTTGTTCTTTGCAGTCGGGAATGAAGAGGAGAATCGGAAAGGTGATCATGCCATCATTCTACCAGTTGCGGTCGGTCTGGGAGGGGACCCGCCTGGAAGGCCCAGCTGTACAGCGGAACGCAACCTGACTGGCCTCCGGGCCAATCAGCACCACAAAGAAGGAAATCAAAAGAATCCGAGAAAAAAACTGTATTATGCAGGATGAAACATCGGACAACTTTTGGCTGAGCCTCTGAGGGTCAATCCAAAACTCGTTATCAAATCCACGACAAAACTATTAAAAAGTAAAATTAAGAATTCAAAATTCAAATCATTTCACGCGGCATGAAAGCTGTTGGTCAAAGTTGTTTCAAATACTCTGTTGGAATCTGTCAGAGTCTTTCCGTCAGTGTTTGCAACTTTGCATATACCTGAAGCTTTCCATCAGTGCCTGCAGCTGTCATTTGACAACTTCAAATGCAAATTGTGAAGTCTGTAGTTCACTTGTCACCTACCTTGTCATGTTGCCAAGTTTCTTTTTTTCTGTTGTTGTCATTTTGCATGCTTGCAGTGTGCAGGACTTTAATCCCGGGTTTTCTGTGTCGATTATGGTCTTCTGCGTCGATCTTGGATTGCATGTGTGAAATCTCACCTCACCTCTCCTCCCCCACATGCATCCTCAGCAAAATGACAGCAAGAGAACATAGCAGAGTTCTTACTGCGCAAAGAAAATGCAACTGTTCCAAAGTAAGAAACCTCTTATTTTGTTCTTGCTGTCATTGTGGTGAGAGGATGCATGTGGCAAAGAAGACCCTGCACAATGCAAGCAGTCGTCCACCAAAATGCCACCGCAACAGTCTGCCTGTCATCTGCAGCCATACCCACAGAGCAAACGGGCCACATCACATCTAGACCTGGGGGAGTGTCCGGCTGCAGTCCCACAGTGCAGCTGCGGGAGAGACTCTAGAAGGTGGGAAATGGATAACGCTCCCCTAGAAAGCCGGCTGTTAAACCACCAGTACATGGCCCCAGGCAACTGGAGAACCTGTTTTGAGCCTTTGAGCCTCCCCTAAAATTTAGGAGGCCGTGTGTGCCGTAGATAAAATGAATCGGCGGCCGATAGCTGGCATGTACTGGTGCTTTAAGCCTCAACAAGAAGGAAGAATCATGAATGTATTACCAATGGAGATCGACAGATAGTGGTTTGGACTCCTCTGACTCTCTGACTAATCAGCGGCAGTTTTTGGTTAGCAGAATCAGAGCTGTGATTGTGGAACTTCAATTGTGTTGTCACACTATGGGTTTGGTCAAGTAATTGTCACAAGGATGTTGACATCATGGCAAGAAGGGGGACTACGAGTCCATCTCCATCTCGCATTCCAACAATTCTGAATGCATCTTTTTCTAGTTCCAGCTCTGGGATTAAGGCTTTGCCTCCATATTGCACTCTGACTTTTCTCAATGGTCCCCATGGCTTTTGTCCCGGTTCTAATTCGGGGATTCAACTGCTCGAGTTTGTGCTGAATAGTCCTCATGGTTGCTTCGGTTAGCATATGACAATTAGCATTGCAGGCTGAAAATGTTATCACCTCTATATTCTTACACTAGCTCAAGGGACAAAGGATGAACCGACAATGTTGGGTGGGTCAGACTGACGCCTATCAGACAGAGAGAGAGGGGAAGGATACGAGTGCCAGATAACATACGGCATGGTATAATGCGTACCTGACCATCTGGAACCAGTGGCTTGAAATATCCAGTACCATTAATCCCAAGAAGATGATAAAATACTGGCTGTAAGCACAATTGCACACACAGCAGTACAATCAACCATCAACCATAAACGTAGTGCACACACATCAGTACAATCAACCATCAACCATAAACTGAGTGTAGAAGCAGTCTCAGAAAGAGGAGAGCAGATGGAAACTGGGGAAATGGAGGAGGGAGGGAAGGGAAGGGAAAAAAGGAGTCGTATGAAGCAGATGCCGACATAGTCACAAGGAGGCTGGGAACGACTACAACAACACAATAGGTCAGATGTCACATACCGTAAAGGTGCAGACCAGAACAAGAACCGACCTCTCTCACATAGTATAAGATAGCGCAGCGGAAGGCTAATATACCAATGATCCGAACAATCAATGTCGCAATGCAGACCAAACATACATCATCATCATTCCATGGTGTGAAGGGGCCTGGCGCTCATACAGGAAGAATGCGCCAGTCCCCAACCATACACAGACGAAGAAGAGGGGGGTTAGACGAAGAAGAGGGGGGTTAAACAAGGAAGAGGGGAAGATGGAAAAAGATGTTCTTCGGTACAGGTCCCAAATAATCCCTCGCCCAATGTCTCAATCCCAATGTGGAGTCTGGATCCAAATGGCGTCAAGTCCCAAAGTCACCAATCTCTCTCTCTCTCTCGTAGTCCGCAAATACTGAGAAGTTAGGTAGCGAGAGGGTGAGGGAGAGATGGTGGACTTAGAAGAGGAAGAAGAAGAACTCTCTCTCTCTCTCTCTCTCTCTCTCTCTCTCTCTCTCTCTCTCTCTCTCTCTCTCTCAGTCCGGTACAAACCTGTGAAGGTGGCTCCTTGTTGCAGGTACATCGAAGACGAAGCCGAAGCTATGGCGCCACAGGTAAGTCTCCCTGGCCTCCGCCAACCATCTCTCTCTCTCCAACGCTACTCTAGCTCCTAATAGCGCCCAGCGCTTTAAGACTACTGCTAACGCTACTACTACTACTGCAGTGCTCCTCCAGAGTGCTGCTGCTGAATCCTGAAGACTGCCTCCTGCCTCCTGCACGTGGAGTGCCTGGGAAGTCCCTATGAACTACCTGCAGCCTGCAGGGCAGGCCAGTCTTATATAGTGCTGGCCCGTACAGGAGGNACCTGCAGCCTGCAGGGCAGGCCAGTCTTATATAGTGCTGGCCCGTACAGGAGGCTGCTCTTGCCAATGCCAAAACGTGCCATACCCTGGCATTGAAGTTCAAACAAAGGTTGTCTTAAAAACAGGCCCAAAATGGCCTGTGCTAAAACCCTGGTCTGGTGCCTAAGTTTCAGGGCAGGTCGATCTTATGACGGCCTGAAAATGGCCCTCCGTTTCAGGCTGAAAAGACGCAAGGCCTGGAGGGCCCTTTTTAGGCTGAAACGACACAGGGCCTGTAGGCCCTCGTTTTCAGGCTTTCAGGCTGAAATGTAGGGCCCTGAATTTCCGTCTGGTCGGGCCCTGCAGGCCCGTGTGGCTGCGCAGTATGGCACATCAGATGATCAAGGAAAAGGAAAAGAACAAATGACAGCACTTGCTCTCTAGCCAAACATGGAATACTGCTCCCGAAAGAAAAGAAAAAAAAGGGAAAGAAAAGAAGAAAGTTCAAGAAATGCTATATTGAAAGTCTTCCCTCAGTACCATTGCGGGAAATGAGGTGCACGACCCTTTAGATTCAGTGAAACCTCCAGCAAGAGCCAGCCGCATTTGCCTGGTAGACAACCTTCACTTTTATGATACCCAATGCCTTGCTGTTTGAGGAGGAAAACAATTTTGCTCTGCACTTTGGGCCACATCATTAAAATGTCATCAAGCCAAGGAACTCAGAGAGTCTTCCTCCAAAAAATATTTTCTTCTGACAAAGGAACCGCAAAAACTCATAAAGCCATATTCTCGGCCATATTTACCCTTTTTAGGATTTTTTGAATTTTTTCCCTTTTTGGGGAAAGCCAACAGAGAGGGGGGGTTAAGCAAGGGTAGGCAGAAAAAGGTGCCATTCTGAACCGTTGTGAACAGTTCAGATGTCCCAAAGGAATACTAAGGAATTTCTACAGCAACAGTCCAAGCTGCAGTTCCATGCAGCTCCGTAATCAATGCTGCGGCCAGCATGTCTACCCGGCCTTGCATCCAAGACAAACAAGCAGCGAACAGTGTTTCCTGGATGCGGACCCAGATCTCACCGTAAGAAATTTGCCCCCGCTCACTCCAAACACCGACCATAATCAGGAAAGGATCACGCTCGCAAGACAGCATTCAATTCATTGCAGATTCAGCAAGATGACATTCAAGTTGCTGCCACATCAAGGAAGAAAGAAGAAAACATTGTGTGCGGTTCATTGCAAGGTTAAGGAAGACAGCATGTTTTATCATCTTTCTGCTGTTCAGTGCTCACATCATTTAATTGACCGACATCCAGATCGGTTGAGAAGAAGGCAGCTCGCTGTGCCAAGCCAAAAGAAGCCACGAGACCTCACGGAGTGCAGAAATCGAGGACAAAATTGCGACGGACTAGCGCATAGCATAGATGACCGCCATAGCGGAAAGGTGTCAAAATAATACAGACAAACGGACAAAAGCAGAGCTGCAGAAACGTGAAACAGGAACAGAATTGAAGTCCCAGGAACAGAACCGAAGTCCAATCCATGTCAGCTACAGACACCAAAAAAATGAGATTTCCGCCAACAGACTCAATAAATTGTAAATATATAGCCACATGCTCCTTTTCATCATCCAAAAGGACAAAAAACTCACCTGTAGAGGCTCGATAGGACGACCAACAGTGACGCTGTGCTAACCCTGTGCAGAATCAACAGCCAGTCATAGCCCACAGTCCCAAAATCAGAGAGGAGAGTGCAGTTCAAACATGTTCACCCATGTTTCGCTTCCCCAAAAACACATATCCTGACATTGACTCGTTCAGTAGTCATGCTGGCCATGAGGAAAAACGATCAGGCAGCTGACCACTACATGGAATCCTACAATTACTCCAAGAAGATACTCGACCCTCCCACTTTTCCAGACTCTCGCTGAACTGCAGCGCATTCAGCTAACTTTGCCCAATGATAGCTCCCCTTCCATCCGCAAAACAGAAAAGAAAGACTGCATTGTGCAATTAAGTGCCAGACTTTCCGCAGCATTCACTCGCATTTTACGCAGGGGGCTTCAGGGTGAATGCATCCAAACACATCCCAGAGTCTTCAGAACCAGCAATGCATCACAGCATTCTCAGAACCGTCAATCCACCGCTGAATTTTTCAGAACCAAACAGCATTCAATCACCAGATTTGTGCACAGTGGGGAACTTGAGAATTCAAACAAAGATTCAAATGATCAAATCCCAAGACATGTATGCATTCACCTTGCCATGCTACCAAACCACTAGCTACAACATCAAGTGCCCAACACACTGCGCCCCCCTCCCCCCCACTCACCCACCAACCCCAGGCCAAACGATCACTGTCGATCCACATGACTTTGCAAGGAACCAATCAATGGGAAGTCGTATGTTTTTTCAGAGCTGCAAAAGACTCGAAGCAGGAAAAGTGAAACAAAATTTACAAAGCCCAGAGCACACCAAAATTAGAACAGACTGAAAATCGACGTCTCTTGACGAGGAAAGACCAACCCCTCGCCTCCAGTGACCAATGATCAATAGAACCCACTCATCACTTGACCGCTTATACCAACTCTCCTACTTCCTTGGAAAGCCCAACTTCTCGCCTCCAATGATCAATACAACAACGATGTAGCCACTCATCATGTGACCGCTTATACAACTCTCCTACTTCCTCTATAAACCAACTACTACTTCCCTTCACACTCTCTTTGTCCAATATCCTCTTATCCAGCAATGCTGCAGAGTCTGACCCCCACAAGTGCGCTCCTTGCCCATCACCAGCCAAATACCGCCAGTCCTCACTGCCGTCCTTCTCCCAAATCTCCCAGTCACAGCAACACCCTTCTCCCTCTCCAGTGCAGCTATGGCTGCCACTAGGTAGAGCAGCGTACTGTGGCTGCTCCTCACCTCCTTCCCTGAATGAGCGCTCACAGCCCTATGGTCTCATATCGTTTGTTTTTAAAATTTTTGATGAAATTCGCACCGCAATTGCCAACGAAAACGGCGAATATTTGGGCCCCCGTTAACCGTCTCTCCAAGCGGGAGAGACGCTTAACGGGGGCCCAAATATTCGCCGTTTTCGTTGGCAATTGCGGTGCGAATTTCATCAAAATTTTTAAAAACAAACGATATGAGACCGCAGCTCTGGCTGCCACTAGGCAGAGCAGCTTACTGTGGCTGCTCCTCACCTCCTTCCTTGACAGAGCGCTCACCGCCGACAGTGTGCCCCAGCACAGCTCTCACTGGCCTCCAATGTCCTTCCTTTCATCTCTGTCTGGAGGCCTTGCGCTGTGCGACTGAGACCGGACTGGGTCCAGGCCTGGGTCCCGGTCTCTCCAACTAACTGAGAGTCTGGGCCTAGAGAGGCTGGGGTGCAGTCTTACCCTTCCAACTGTATCACACCGGATTTCTCTTAGGGCCAGCATATTTCGCTGCCGCAGCCTTCGCTTAGGGCCGTGCACATTTTCTGTAGGCAGCCCCTTTCTGGGCTAGCCGAGGCCTGGAGCCTCGCAAATATGTCACACACATGCTTGTGCATTCGTTTATTGTCCATCTAAACCACCTCCAATGCACATAAGTATTCCCACTTCCTGTAACCAACAAAAAAAAAGAAACCATAACATGCAGCCAAGACCAGCCCTTGAAACAAACAGGACAGACAAGCCATACTCTGCCGGCACAACCTAGAAATATGGAACTACTAGTAGTCTAGTACAAAATATTGATCATCCGCTTCACAGGTCAATCAGAACCAAAACAAAAAAGAAAAAGAAAAACACTCGGAAGCTGGACCATCTATTAAAGCCAAACAAACAAGAAAGAAAAGAAAAGCAAAGAAAAACTAGCGAACCTCAGAAAAGAAGTATTGAAAATAATTCAGAATCAGGGTCAGTTTCCCTGGTAGTGGGCCTCGCTCCACTACTCTGGAAATGCGCAAAACCAGAGTGCATCTTCCGCTAGAACATGGGAAGATGCACCGCCGTAATTTGTGTCTTTTATGCATGTCGAGAGCAGTGGAACGAACGAGACTGGGAAAGAGCCTTGCTTGCAACCATGTGCTCACTAAAAAAGAGTTGTCCATGTACTTTCCTGGTGCCTCGGGGGTGCGCACACGCGGATGTCGTTAGATTACGAGTTCAATTCCGGATAGATACAGTAACATCAAGAGCTGACCGAGCCTGACCCCCATGTAAGCGGTCAAAAAAAAAAAAAAAAAAAGGTGTCATTGAGGCAATAGAGCAAGGCATCAAATCCAGTAAACACTCCCTGGATCAAGAGGGATCTCAAAAGTTGTAAAATCGGTCTTCTCAGAGTGAAGATTGCTCAAGTTTTGTTGCAGTAAATTGAAAACAAAGCCTGGCCACAACCACAGCATGCAACAAAATAAGCAATTGCAACAAAAGACAGAGAATCCAACAAATATCTTCCCCTGTGGAGTTATTATTTCCGCGCGAAAACAGAGTGATAGCCCCTCATGCTACCGTACCGTCAGGATTTGAACTCATGACCTGCTTATGAACAGTTACATCTGTATGCGCCATTCAGCCACAACGAGAGTAGTACACAATCGAGTTGTCGTCCCTCGGAGGGAAAAAAAAATCACATTTCCTTTACATCAGATTTCACACCACAATCAGGCAAGCTATGCTGCAACAAAGAGTCGTCGCAGATAAGCAAAGGCAGGCCAGCACTAACCTGTCAGTAACCATATCGAGGACAGCGCCAAACGTAGACCCTGGTGCCATCAACACACATATGAATTAATTTGACATCTCAAGGAGATGAAAGCATGTGGTCATTTTTGCAGTCATGCCCTAAACAACTCCACAGAGTCCACACCCAGTTATCAAGCCACCCACAAGACACCAACTGAGCTTTCTTTCCTATGGCATGCATGCCCTTCCAAATCTTCCTCCTATCCAAATTCGCATGGGGTAATGTAGGCAGTCACCATTTCCACTTCTGGGTTGCCTTTGTGATTATTTTGCCACTTGCCAACACACACACACACACACACACACACACACACACACACACACACACACACACACACACACACACACACACACANCACACACACACACACACACACACACACACACACACACACACACACACACACACACACACCAGAAGAAAACGGCAATATACAGAGATGGTGGCTAAGCTGTTTCTTAAGGCAGGTTCACTCACGCTGGTCAAGGAGTCTGGCAAATCGTCCATCCAGCTCATCACACACAAAGCTGCAAGGAGCAAAAGTCACATACAAGAGGCAAAGCCGCACATTAGTTTTCTCTCTCTCTCTCTCTCTCTGATCATGTGTCTGTCTCGACAGAGGGCTTCTTGGCTCAGGTACGCACTCTCATTCCTATCAGTTTTATCCTTCTCCCGTGCTTTGTGGTTTATCTATACAATACTTTTCTCTTCCATACCCATTGTGGAGCAGCTCATGTAGATTTAATTGCAGTTTGTCTTCGCACAAGGATGTAGAGACAACTCCCGCGTGGTGTCCGGGGGTTGAAACCACCAGTTCTTCCAAGGCACTTTTCTCTGGGGCTGGAAACACCCTGTGAGGCAAAAGAAACGGACCGGCGTGGGCCTCTCCTTCTGTAGGGCGCCGCCAGCCATTTTGCTCCAGAGGCCGAGCCCCAAAAAAGCGACGGCAGAATGCAAGCCACAACTCTGAAAAAATAGTTGGGAAACATACTGGCGATTTAATATTGAAGCTTCGGACTATTTTCGCACGAGGAAAGGACCAGCCCCTTTATCATCCGAACTATTTCTGTGAAAGACTGCTCACTGCCGTTATCGTTGGAACTATTTTTGCAAGCCTTACTGCTGAGAATGCCTTTCCTCACTTTTTGAACAGAGATGGACCTCAGCTGGTGCGCTCATCTCTTGACTGAGTGTGCATGCAATGCTCTTCTCACCCTTGGTAATCAGTCAGCCGCTGCCACTTTTCACTCCTGGACAAGGAGAACACAGACTGTTCCCATTCAGCCAGGTAGTGGTCTTCAAGGGCAGCCATGAAAAAAAAAGGGGACACAAAGAAGAATGCGGCTACCGCAATGCATCATCCGATCACAATGGTTTGCATAGGAGGCCACACTTTTTTTGTTGCAGCTGCCCGTCTTCCTTTGGCAAGTTCCGCCTCGGACACAAATGAGGAAGTTCCGCCTCGGACACGAATGAGGTTCAACAAAACAGACTCGGCCATAGTCTTGCTCTACAAATTAGGGTGTTGGGGCAACAGGATATCTGCTCAGGGTTTACAGCATTAAACCCACCAGTACCTTTCTTATGTATTGGCCGCGGGCCTGAATTTGCCCTGCGCGCCAGAGAAAACGAACCGACACGGATGTATCTGGATGGCGCCGCCAGCCATCTCGCAACGAGCCTGAACTTCCATGTTAACCGCCGCTGTATTTTTTTGGAGCAGGGAAAGGTACTGGGTTAAACCACGGCTCCAACAGCCCCCACACTGCTCATTTTTCTTGTCATCAATTACCGAGCCAAATTTACAATGCCCAGGGCCAGTAGAGGTTCACTGGGAAAGGGTACCACACCTGTTTTTCCTCAAGGTGGCATTGGAGGTTTTTTGTTTTGTTTTGTTTTGTTTTTGACGTAGTAGATTTTAGCGCTTGGGGAAATGCAAATTTTGGTTTGTCGAAATAGGTCCCAATGGAGTGGTGGTTTAAGGGTTTTGGACGCCCTTTGATCGGAAAAGACTCCAAGCCTGAAGCTGACCCACTTATCACAGTGGGGTGGCTGTGAAGTCACGAGTTTGAGAAGATTGCTGATACTAGTGTTTCGGTGCGACCGTGGCATTCCAACTTTTCAAAGTGACCAAAGAAATGTCTATATAGTATATATCTCTTTATTTCTCCTGTTTCGGTGAAGTCCAGGCTATGACATAATATGAAATTTCAGCAGTGTGTTATTGCTCTTTCCTCTCTTCTTTCTCATGTCTCCCCATTTGTCTAAAACCCAGTTAAACTAGAACAGCTGAAATTTATGCTGAGCCACAGGCATTGAGCAGATAACATATAGCAAACAATAATAATCAGTCAAAGAGGATGGAATATGGGTCATCAAAATGGACATTGGTTAGAGGCACCACCATACCACACAAGCAAAATTCTACTCGCAATGTCTACAGACTCGCTTAGCACACAAATCATATAAATTTCATATATTGTCAATAATACTCAATATATATTGTCAATATATTGTCAAACAGAGCTGCTCGGTAGACTGTAGACAATATATAATGCATCAACGACTGAACAAAAACTGATACCCTGAGGTGGGCACCAACCACTGCCCTCAAGGTACCTGTGACGAAAATCAAAGCAGACTATCACTCACCCACACCAGATGGAAAAAACTCTACAGACTGTCCGTTCACACCCCATCACAAGCCCGCAAAACACCCACAAAAAAAAGAAAGGTCTATCACAGCCAGAAAACACACTCCAGACACGCCGCTGGCACTAGAGGCTCGGCATGGCCGTGTAGTGACGACCCCCACCACAGATGGTCAGGTTACCTGACCGGAGAAAGCTGTAGCAGGGTGCTATCGAAGTCGTTGTATATATCGTCAGACAGAACTGCCCGGTAAACCGTAGGCATATATCGTCACACTGAATCAGAGCGCGAAGGCGAAAAAAAGCAAAACAAGGAAAGGAAAAGAAGGAAAGCCCCACCTGTTCATCACCTCTTACGTACAAGGCCAGCCACGTGGATGACAGGTCGAGCGCTGGCTGCCCCCATCCCCGTGTGTCACAAGGACCCACTTGCACGCAGCCAAAAGGCAAAGACGTAAAGAAAAGGAGGAGGGAACCAAACCTGACAGGGAAAGAAAGCCTATCAGTCAAACAAAGCAAATAACACATCCCGCAGATAATCCAATTGTCAGAAAGCAAATAACACATCCCACAGATCAACATATATATTTTTTTTTCTTATTTCCTTATTTTTTATTTTCTCTTTTTTTCATTTTTCCTTTTTTTCTTTAACTCCGCATCTGTCGGTAGTGTCGAAGGCTCTATCTGTCCCCACCTCAGCAGATAGGACAGCTACAGTGAGGATGATGTGGATGTTCACAAGGATACCCAAGGAGAGCTGCGCCAGCACAGCATTCAGCAGGATGGCTAGCACGAACCATCCCATCATCAAACAGAGCTGCCCGGTAAACCGTAGGCAGAGAGGGAGAAGAGGACAAGAAACAAGGGGCTGTGACAAACTGTTTCGTCACCGACTCGTACATACCGTAGGCAGAGAGGGAGAAGAGGACAAGAAACAAGGGGCTGTGACAAACTGTTTCGTCGGAGTTTCACCGACTCGTACATATATTTTCACATAACTATATATTGTCACAGTGGAAATCGGAGCACAAAGGCGGACAAAGACGGAACAAGAAAAAGAAAAAAAGTAAAAAAAGTGAGGAAGGAAAGCCCCACCTGTTCGTCACCTCTTACGTACAAGACCAGCCACGTGGATGACAGGTTGAGCGCTGGCTGCCCCCATCCCCGTGTGTCACGAAGACCAACTTGCACTCAGCCAAAAGGCAAAGAGGTAAAGAAATGGCGGAGGAAACCAAACCTCACAGAAGAAGAAAGCCTATTAAACAGACGAAGCAAGTGACACATCCCACAGATAATCCAATTACCATCCCACAGAACATATTTTTCTTTTTTCTTTTTTCTTTTTTCTTTTTTCTCAGGTTTCTTTATCTGTGTTTTTCCTTCCTTGGTTTCTTTTTTTTTTTTTATCTTTTTACTTGGTTTCTTTTTTTCTGTTTCTTCTACACTTCATCTGTCGCCCCCTCGGCAGATAGGACAACTACGGTGAGGATGACGGGGATGTTCAAAGGGATACCCAAGGAGAGTTGCGCTAGTACAGCATTCAGCCGGACGGCTAGCACGAACCATCCCATCGAAACAATCCCGACAGAGGACATGTTGCCCACATGTCAAGAAAACAGCAGGATGTTCGTCACAGTGCGGCATCATGCAGTTCTGATAGTGTTACATGCAGCGCGTGCACACACGGGCCATTTTGCAGGCCCGACGGCCATTTTGCAGGCCCGACGGTTTTCAGGCCAAAAGCCTGAATTTCAGGCCGAAAGCCTGGAATCCAGGGCTTATAGGCCCCATGTCGGTTCAGGCCGAAAGCCTGACTTTCAGGGCCTACAGCCCCTGCGACGGTTCAGACTAAAAATGGTAATAGCATTTTTAGCCTGAACCCAAGGGCCATTTTCGGTCGTTCATCAGAACGACCGGCCCTGAAACTCAGGCACCGAACCAGGGTTTCGGGAACAGACTATTAATAGTCTGTTTCCCACGCCAGCCTCAAGCAGGCTGCTGCACACCAGCCCCTGGCACACTTCGGCATTGGCAAGAGCTGCCTCCTCCGCCTGACTGGCCTCCAGTAGTCAGGAGGCAGGCCGAGGTAGTACATAGGACTTCCCAGGCACTTCCGAGGTAGGCGGTCGGCAGTTGTAGTCTTCAGGATTCGGGAGCAGCACTCTGGAGGGAGCGCTGCAGTGTAGTAGTAGTAGCGTTAGCTTGTAGTCTTCAGCGCTGGGCGCAGTAGGTAGCTGTAGTCTCCAGCGCTGGGCGCCATAGCTAGGTAGTACTAGAGAGAGAGAGAGGGCTTGGGCGGAGGCCAGAGGTACCTACCTGCAGCGCCGTTGCTCCAGCTTCGTACCTGCAGCACAGTGCCACATCACAGGTTAGTATCTGGTTCGTAACAGGATGAGAGAGAGTTCTTCTTCTTCCTTTTCTCAAGGCCACCATCTCTTCTCTCCCTCTCAACTTCTGACTTCACTGCATTTGCAGACTATGAGAGAAGAGATACAGAGCTTGGTGACATTTGATCCAGACTCGACTTTGGGGATTCAGACATGGCAACGTGGGATTGGTGACCAAGACTTGGTGTTAACGACATTCCCATCCTTCTCCCTCCTTTCGTCTGATCTTTATCTCTTTGTCTGTGTATGTCTGGACCTGGCGCTTTCTTCCTGTGTACAGCGCCAGGCTCCTTCACACTCGGTGATGGATATCATGCATGTTTAGTCCGAGTTCAAACATCGATTGGGCTAGTTAGTAGTATTCTAGCATTCTGCTTCGTTACTCTGAACTACGTGAATGAGGTCAGTCCTGTCAGGTCAGTCTTTGTATCAAAGTCTTCCCTGCGCTATTCAGCACCTTTTGTATGTATGAGAATGCACATTGTCTGTCGAGATTCTACTCGCACTGTATTGTCCATTCAGTCCTTTTCATCACACTGCAGTTCCTCGGTTATTACGTACATTGCATATCTGTGCATGTAACAGAGCGTCCTTGGGAACAGAAATATTGTTTTACCTCTTTGGTTGGCATACATATATATAGATTTCACATCCTGTCACGTTGCACAGTGCATAGTATGCATACGTACCTTATGAAATACAGTGTTACAAACATCCCCTTCTGATCGAAACAATGAGAAAAAGCCACCACATTTGCAATGATGCGAGCATAGCCTGCCATAAATCCAAAACGTGAAAAACATGTCAGTTCCTCAACAGCATATAGACCGCAGGACACTCGTCATAAGCATCACATTTTACTCTCCTGACCCTGACGTCCTTCATTAGTAATAAAAACCGTGAAAGACTTTTACCCCCTTGCCCCATCCATCACCCTCATCTCACCACTAAACGCGATTGAAATTTCCACACTCACTGATTCTTTCGACTATCCAACTACAAACGACGGTGTCAGATGCATTGTCACTTCTAGAGTGCGCAAGGTCCAAAAAAACAAAACCAAAAATGCCGCCCTGATCAATACTCGCCATGGTGCTTGCTCAATCTCCAAGGCTCCCAGCCCTCACTGCCAGTTTTCCAAGGACCCCTCTAAGACCACCTCAAGGTGGATCAGTTCGCAGAGGCCTACTACTACTTGATACAAAGGAGTCAAAGCACAACTCACAAAATTACATGAAGAGAATTCAACAGTTTGGTGGCCTGGAAAACACAAGAACTCCGGCGAGTAACCAGCCAAACTAATTACTGAACCTTAACCCCCCTTCACTGGTCACAGCTCTCAGGTCTCCTCCGGCTGCCATGGTCTAAAGGGCCAAGCCAGGCTAGTATGAACCAGGCCCGTGCCAGTAACGTATGAACCTGGCCATCATCAAGTCCAGGATGATCCTTCCTATGCACACACAACCATGGCTCCAGCGGGAGTCTGGCCCTACGCCATCTGCCAAATTCCCATCTCAGCTGGTCCTGCTGGTCCTGAACTGACCATCCTTTTAGGGCCAAACTGTCAAAGCGTCATTCGGTGGGTTTGGGCTTTGGGTTTTAGGCTTCTTTTTCCTTTTTTTTATAAAGATTTTGAGCGAGCCAAGCTCCATACCACTGATCTGGAGTCCTCTTTCTAGTAGTCCTTACTTGGTAGCTTCACTTCTCCTTCTTTATAGACCAGGTTCAATTCGTAAACTCTGCCGTTGTAACAAATGTCCTCTGGTACGACGCTGACAGATGCGGAAAAGAGTACCATGATGATACAAGTACAAACCAACGCCGGCATACAGAATTCTTAACAAACCACGATGGAAAACAGCATTAGAGAACACACTCACACTAGGACATTCTAGACGGAAGCTGGACATACCATTGCCAGATACGTTCAAGAATCGGCAAGTGGGAGTGTGCATGCCCCTTGCGGTTTTTTCACTCCGGGTGACTGGATGCGCTACAAAACGGAGGATAACCACCTTACATCTCCAATGGCTGTCGCAGACCTTTCGAAAAAAGGTAGAGTTTTGTGGTGAAGCTCTCCCACCCCAACGGTCCAATACTCCTGCCTTCTCCGGAAAAAGGAAAAGAAAACAAAAAAAGAAAGTCTTGCTTGGCTAGGCCTCCGAATCACTGAGCCATTCGGGGCCGCATGTAGCGGTCAGGAAAGAATTTATTGTATGCATGTATGTATGAATTGTCAAATGCCGCTGGCACTAGAGGCACAGCATGGCCCGCAGTGACAGCCCCGACCATTGACGCTAGACCTGACCGGAGAAAACCGTAGCAGGGTGCTGTCGACGTCGCGGTGCTTATTGTCAAACAGAGCTGCCTGGTAAATATGTATGTATGTATTCAGTGAACACTATCACTTTTCTAAGTTTCCTTTTTATCTTTATTTCAAATGATGACAGCCTCAAGGTATCATCATCGAATTGATCGGCCCCAGGGTAATTTGGGTCAGAGGTATTTTATTCAAGTGGTTCTTATTCGATCAATATTCGAACTCATCTGATTTGATCATGATGCGGACTCAAGTCCGTTTCGCTCAGGATTCAAACTCGTCTGTCTCAATCAGGATTCGAACTCAGGTCCGTTTCTCAACAGTTACAGGGGTGTACAATTCACACTCATAGGCCAGGTATCACCATCACATTTGGGAGACGCTTATAGGGGTGTACCATTCAGGCTCATTAGTTAGGTTTCACCATCACATTTAGGAGACGCGAGAAGATTAAGTACACACAAATCCACTCAGCGTGTCATGCCCAGTTTCGAGGGGGATATATAGGACCTCGTCGCACCAGGTTGCCAAATATGGAAAAGACAAAAACTATGGTGGCACGGGTATATTACTATATTGTTCACTGCACTTACAGCGGTACATGCATTCTCCATTTTGCACATTGGGCGAGTAGAGGAGTGAGGCCCCGAGAGATGACGGACCCTGGACCTATGTGACACCCGCGGCCTAGGCCGCGGGCATTTCAGCCGCTGCGGCCGAGATTCTCGGCCGCGGCCTAGGCCGATGAGGCCCAGTCCGCAGCCTGGTTTTTCAATATCCCCCCCCCCCCCCCCCCCACCCCCCCTTAAAAATACGTAAAATATATATATATATATGGGGGTGTAAGTCTTGGAAAATCCTACACTCCTATATTTTTTTTTTTTGGAATCCGACTTTGTTTAAGATTTTAAAAAAATCAAAAACTAAAATCGATTTAAACAAAATTAAAAATATATATATAAAGAAAAGCAGGATTTTTTTTTGTCATTTTTTATCATGAGATATATGGTCCCCGAGTCGACCTGTGTTTTTTTTTTAAATGAATTTCTGTTTTTTGCAGGGAAATGAGGTGTTTAAAAAAAAATGCAGATG